AAGCAGATGTCCTGATTATATGAATCCACCATTCCCCCAAGTGTTCAGTGGGATATTACAATATATTAGGGATAAAAGTTCGCTGATTAAACTACTTTGGAAAATGTTGGTTTGAACAAAATGAAACCTGTTTACAAATGAACTTCCAAGAGCCTTTAAATGTCAGAGTTCATTGTACATATTTAATAGGAGGGCACATTTTGCAATATTTTCCAAAGTTGTTTGTTCATGGAATACTTTCACTCAGAATACCTGTATTAGACCAGTTGTTCTATGGAATACTTTTTTTAGTAAAAAATTATTTTGATTGACTATCACCTGCCTGAGGAGCTCTGGTAGCATAGTGCCTAAGTCACTTGACAGCTAACCAGAAGGCTGGCGGTTCAAACCCACCAGCCACTCCTTGGAAGGAAGGTTGGGCAATCTACTTCTGTAGTGATCCGGCCTCACCTCAGAAACCCAAGGAGGAGTCGCTATGAGTTGGGTGTGACTCAACGGCACATAACAACAACAACAACATCACCTGCCTGTCAGCATGTGGACTAGATGATTTTTGCAGGTTTCTTTGAAAAATGTGGTTCTAGGTAAAATCTTGAACAAAGATTTCAAAGAGCAGCTCAAGAAGACAAAGTAAATTATTATTATGAAATGGGCAAAGAATTAGAAATCCCAAAAAGAAGAACATACTTGGCATTTTTCATGATGAAAGAACAGAAGAAAAATTCAAGCTTTAAGTTGTAATACTGAATGATTCTATGGGGAAAAAAAAAATTTAACAATGCAAGAAGCATCACAAGAAGATAGAAAGTATACAGAGAGTCAAAAAATTTGGTTGACATTCGACCACCTGAGGATATAGCATATAATCAAGGATCAATGATACTGAAGGAAGAAGTCCAAGCTGCACTGAAGGCACTGGTATAAAACAAAGCTTGAAGAATTGACAGAATACCAATTGAAGTGTTTCAACAAATGGATGAAACATTGGAAGCACTCATTTATGCCAAGAAATCTGGAAGACAGTTACCTCACCAACAGTTTGGAAAAGAGCCATATTTGTGCATGTTCTGAAGAAAGATGATCCAACAGAATGTGGAAATTATCAAAAAATATTATTAATATCAAACATAAGTAAAACTGTGCTGAAGATAATTAAAAAATGATTGTAGCAGTACAATGACAGGGAACTGCCAGGAATCTGTCAGATTCAGAAGAGGATGTGGAACAAGGGATATAATTGCTGATATCAGATGGATCTTGGTTGAAAGCAGAGAATATCAGAAAGATGTTTACCTGTGTTTTATTGACTGAGAAGCTAGAATATATGAAGAAGAATGTGGCATTAGGGTTAGAGGAAGACTCATCAGCAATCTATGATATGCATATGACACAAACTTGCCTGCTGTAAGCAAAGAGGACTCAATGGACTTATTGATAAAGATCAAAGACTACAGTCTTCAGTATGGATTACACCTCAAGTTAAAGAAAACAAAAATCCTCACAATTGGATAGTTAAGCAACATCATAATAACCAGATAAAATATTGAAGTTATCAAGGATTTCATTTTTGTTGGATCCACAATCTATGCCCATGGAAACAGCAGTCAATAAATCAAATAATATAGTGCATTGCGCAGATCTATGAGACATCTTTAATGTGTAAAAAAGCAAAGATGTAATTTTGAGGACTAAGGTGTGCCTGACCCAAGCCATGGTCTTTTCAACCACCTTACATGCATGTGAAAGCTGGACAATGAATAGTAACAGCAAAGATGGACTGATGCTTTTGAATTATGGTTTGGCAAAGAATATTGAATATATTTTTGACTGCAAGATGAACGAATAAATTTCTCTTGGAAGAAATACAGGCAGAATGATCCTATAGAAGCAAGGATGGGAAGACTTTGTCTCATGTACTTTGGGCATGTTATCCAAAGAGACCAGTCCCTGGATATCATGCTTGATTAAAAAGTTGGATATCATGCTTGATAAAAAGTTGTTGCTGTTCGGTGCCATCAAATCAGCTCTGACTCATAATGACCCTATATACATTTTTCATTGCAAAATACCTTTTTTCAACAATATAAACGGTGGCTATACACATGGATTTTGCCAAATGGAGTACACAGGAATCAGATCAACTACATCTATAGAAAGAGGCAATGGAGAAGTTCCATATCTTCAGCCAAAACAAGTCGAGGAGCTGACTGTGGAACAGACCATCAACTGCTCACATGCAAGTTCAAGTTGAAGCTGAAGACAATTAAAACAAGTCCATGAGAGCCAAAACATGACCTTGATTATATCCTACCTGAATTTAGAGACCATTTAAAGAATAGATTTGATGTATTGAACACCAGTGACTGAAAACCAGAGGAATTGTGGGATGACATCAAGAACATCGTCCATGAGGAAAGCAAAATGTCATTAAAAAGACAGGAAAGGAAGAAAAGACCAAAATGGATGTGTCAGAAGAGACTCTGAGACTTGTCCTTGAATGGAGAATAGTTAAAGCAAATGGAAGAAGTGACAAGATAAAAGAACTGAACAACATAGTAGATCATATGGCTGGCTGATTCAAAATGGCCAAAATCAACCATTTTCAGTTCACTAATGCCTTGGATATTGATCATTTTGTGTTCCATTTCATTTTTGACAACTTCTCACTTTCCTACATTCATATTTCTTGCATTCCATGTTCCAATTATGAATGGATGTTTGCTGCTGTTTCTTCTCATCTTAGCTGTGCCACATTAACAAATGGAGGTCCCGAAAGCTTTACTCTGTCCACATCGCTAAAGTCAACTCTCCTTTGAGGAGGCAGCTCTTTCCCAGTTGTAGTTTGAGCGTGCTCCCACCTGAGGGGCTTATCTTTTGGTATTATGTCAGACAATGTTTCAGGGTTATTCATAGACTTTTCAGTGAAAAAGAGGAAGAACTTCAATGAGATGGATTGACACGGTGGCTGCAACAATGGACTCAAACATAGCAACAACTGGGATGATGGTGCAGGACTGGGTATTGTTTTGTTTTGTTATACATAGGGTCATTATGAGTCAGAACCACCACGATGGCACCTAACAACAAGGTAAAACTTCTTCAGTCACAACGCAATGACCAGGCCTTCACAGGTCTAGTACCTATTTGTTATGGATTGAATTACGTCCTCCAAGATGTGTTGTAAATTTTAACCACTATACTTGTGGATGTGGTCCCATTTTGGATCATGGCTTTCGTTGTTATTTTAATGAGTCCAGATCAGTGTGGGGTGTGTCTTAAGCCAATCACTTTAAAACCAAACTTACTGGGGTGGAGTTGGAGCCAACCCATAGTGAGTTCCCCGCCTTGGGTTTCTGAGGTGGTATTTTTACAGAAGTAGATTGCCCAACCTTCCTTCCGAGGAGTAGCTGGTGGGTTTGAACTGTCAGCCTTCTGGTTAGCAGTCAAATGCCTTAGGCACTATGCCACCAGAGCTCCCAATCACTTTACAGATATAAAAAGAAGAGAAGAGATTAGGCATAGAAGCAAGGAAGCACAGATGGAGAAATACAGATAGCACACCACATGGAGATTGTCTTGGAAGGTAGAAAGAGAAGCTGAAAAGAAGCAAGGATCTTCCTCCAGACCCAATAGAGAGAGAAAGACTTCCCTTTCCCCTAACTTGAGCTTATAACCTCCTAAACTATGAGAAAATAAACTTCCATTGTTAAAGCTACCCACTTACGGTATTTTTGTTATAGCAACACTAAGAAACTAAGACTATTATAGTAGGAGATGAATTCATTTGGGATGAGATAGGAAGAAATTGTTTAGGTAGGTGACAAACCCGTCATACAGTGGAGAGATCATTTGATTTGAAGTCAGAAGTAGAAAGTATGTCATTTCTGCCACTAACTTAACTGTGTTATCTTACGGATATTATATAAGTTATCTTAGTACCAGGATCCTGACTTATAAAATGTGGATAATAATGTTACCTGTCTCAAGAGCTGCTGTAATGAGTAAAGCATGATATATATAACACACAGGAGTGCTGGGGTGGCCATAATGGTTAAGCACTTGACTACTAGCTGATACGTTCATCCGTCCCAGGGGCACCATGGGAGACAGTCTGGCAATCTGGTTCTAAAAGTTTATAGTCTTGAAAATGCAGGTTTAGTCTGCACACATGAAGTTGGCATGCTGGAACTGAATAGACAGCAACTCACAAAAATATATCCAGAAGAGCAATTTCTGGGTCATGTAAATGGTTAAGTGCTCTGCTATTAACAAAGAAGGTTGGTGGTTTAAATCTGCTCAGAGTCTCCTCAGAAGAAAGTCCTGGTGATCTATTTCAGAAAGGGCAGTCATTGCACAGTGAAACACATGGGGTCACCTTGTCTTGGAATTAACTCAATGACAACTACTTATAGCTATTAGAAAACACATTTTATGTTCTCAAAAAGTTAATAAAAAGATGGTGAAAATTTTATTTAGACTGGTTTTACCATTACATTGGTGGTTTTTTATAAAATAATTTTATAAAACAGTCCATCAAGATATTGTATAGAAAAATTACTAAGGTAATATATATACACTCCATAAAAATAGAATACATCTCGGTAATTGCTTCCAGAGTCTGTTACCACCGTGTACAGTGTATTGACGTTTAACATTTATGCTAATTTGAACATATGATATTTTTCAAGAAAAACAAAGAAACCTGTCCCACTGGTATTTTTCAAATTTTCAATTGACAAGAAAATCTAAGAAGCTGGAATGTAAGAGTTTTGGAACTAATCGAATGGAAGTTTATATCAACATGTTAGAGGAAAGATCTATGATATGAACAATCATCTGAGGACAAAATATCTTTTTTTTTTTTTACTATCATAAGTGGCCCAGCTGATTTCACAAAATCACTGACAATAATATCCTTATTATGGAGATTCAATCAAGGTGAGAACCATTTGGGATTGGAACAAACCTTCTAGTGGCTGTCCCATGTTTCTAAATTGAGTGGTGTTTCCTTTGTTCCTTAAAATGAAAATATGTGTGTAAATCCTATTACAATATATCAATACCTTAAAAAACGTCTTTATAAGTTATTAGGTAAGCTTTGATCAAAACACATAACAAACAGGTTTATTAATCTAAAAATGGTCAAATGCCAAAAAATTTACTTGGCTTGACTTTGTTGTTTTTGTTTTGTCAAGGAAAATGATCTTAGCTACTTTACTGTTATAAAATATCATTGATGTGTCCTGTGAGATGTTCAGGACAGTCTCTGGAAAGTAACTGCTCCAGTGTAATAAATAAAGAAAATAATAGGGAGGTTTCTAGACCTTATTAAAAGATATGACCATGGTGGGTTAATGAAAATACCTAGCAGTACCAAGGAAGGCACAAGAACAGAGCATAGCACCATTTTCCAAGTTGCCAAGATTGCAACTATTCAGGAGACAGTAATCTGGAAGGGCACTTGATTTCCATGATTAATGCAGTTTAAATACATGGATTAGGTTTTTGAGAACTTCTTAGTATGGATAGGCAGACACAGCTATATAAACTATGAATGTGGTCTGATATTCAATGGTCCCATTGGCACTGTAGGATAAGGCTCGAACCCTCATGCGGTAGGTCTCTGGTTCTCGTAGTGGTCGTGTTGTGTACACCACTCCTTTCAGGTTTTCATCCCTTAAGGCGAAAGGAACAGTCTGTTCTTCATCAACCATGAGGAAAGTTGTCCTGGGATGCATCACTCCATCCTGCGTGTAGGCAACCAGCCGGATTAAATCTTGATTGGCAGCTATTCCAAATGGGAGGGAGACAAGTTTGTATTCCAAGGCATATGGGCTTAACGCACATTCCAAATCATTGGGTAGACAGTTCTTGAGGCAGAACCTAAGGACAACAAACACATGAAATGCAGTTATCTGGTTTGGAAGAAGGAGAGCCTTGATGCAGGTGATCATGATCCATGACAACTTTTAGGCATTAAACACAGGAGACAGTCTGACTGCAAGAGCAATACGGTTCACCCCAAGCCCTAAGTCACTAATGCAAACCAGATGCCAGATGGCTATGAGAGTACGCTGGTCTAGAATCAAATATCTATCTCTTGGCTCCTTTAAAATTAGAAGGCTTTGAACCATAGACGTAAGTATAAATACCACAAGAGTGTCTTTAAAATGAAACGTAAGGTTTGGAAATCAAAGCATCTGAACTGTCCTGGAAACCAGGGCATCTTAAAGAGAAAAACACAAGTTTTGTTTTTCTTTTATTAATTTTAAAATAGTGTATTTCCTATGATTATTTGGAAGCTGAAATAGGATAGATTAATTTTTGGCTTACTTTTCTAAAAATAATAAAAGGTCAATTAGGATTCCTGGAAGAAAACCAACTTTCTTTTATATTTGTAGTCAACATTATTTTAGATTAAAAGTATTATATTTTCTTTGCTAGAGCCAACATTGACTATTTATGAATCATCATGACTTTTAAATTGTCTGCCAGAAATGACTGCTAATAAAGAAGACAATTAAAAAGTGCACAAAGGATAATTTTCTGGAGATATGGATCCTTCAGTCATAGTATTTTCAGAAATTTCAGGAGTCTATACTTTTAATGTTCTCTTTCCCCTTTCTAGTCTCCTCAAACCAATTGCAAACAGGTTTTTGGTGGATCCTTGGCACTTGGCCATGGCACCGTAGCTTGATAGGCACCACCCAGAGGAAAACAAAGTATGAGCTCCAACCAGCATTTGGTTTAAGAACCACCCTACCCAAGGTGAAAATCACTACTTGTTTTCAAGGACTCTGTTAATTTGGTATCTGACCAAAGTACAGCATTTCTGAAAGGGAGGGAGAAAACTGAGGAGTAATTTATTGAGAACCCACAGAAGACAGTGTTTCAGAGAGCAGGAAATGTAAACAAGACGACATGTGCATGGGCAGACGATTAACTCATCTTTGCTCATCTCTATTCTCTAGTGGCGTGGTGAGTCATCACAGTAACAGGAAAGGTGCTGCTTGATGTGTTCCAAGCACCAAGAGTCCTTAAAGCCCTGAGGCAACACAAATGGAAAGTGGAATACTTCAAAGAAAGGCAGGCTCTATCACCCCATAAAGCTACTGCTGAGGCAGACGTCTAGAAGTCACATAGAGGATTACACACTGGGGAGATTGCCCCAGGAGAGCCTGGCAGACAAAGTGATGCCCAGGCTACAGTGGTTGCTGCTGGATGAGCTCATTTCTTACCCATTCGTTGAAGAAGGAACACATTGTTACTTCATTTCCCCCCAGGGTCATTGACTTTCTTAGAGTTAAACATGGCCACGGACAGTTTTCTGGTCAAGGAGACAGAGAAAGAAGGATTTTCAAATCATGTCTGGGAAGACAAGGCAAGACGTACCCTGAAACAGGATCCCGTTGGAAATTGGGTGGACAGGGTGTGTCGATGCATTGGTAGCTTCCTCTCATGTTGAAGCACATGCGATTTGGTCCACAGTGCACATTCTGCTCCAGGCACTCATCAACATCTAGTAAGAGCACAAGGAACATGAAGTATCAGCAACATGGTCAGAGAAGGCCATCACAGCAGGTTTTCTGGACACTGAACCAGAACGTAGAAGGCCAGGCTTTCGCTTTCCACAAAGGAACTTGGTGGCTAGACCTAAACTTTTTCAACCACAAAGTGCGGATCGTGATATCTAGTATGCTTTTTCTTTCAGGATACATTTCTTTATCATGGAAATGGAAAAATAAGAGCTATAGAAGTATAAACCAACCAAACCAAACTCACTGCCGTCAAGTTGGAGCCAACTCACAGTGACGCCTCCTTGGCTTTCCAAGATGGTATCACTATAGAAGTAGATTGCCCAACCTTCCTTCTAAGGAGTGGATGGTGGGTTTGAACCACCAGTCTTCTGGTTAGGAGTCAAATGCCTTAGGCACTATGCCAGCAGAGAGGGAGCTATCAAGAGCTCTCTGGAGTCTCTCGTATTTGGAACATAAAGTGCATTTGAGTTTTGTAAAGCAAACACTACTTTAAATGCACTAAAAACAAGCTGAAAAATTAAAGGACACTTGTGAATCTTTTTTTTTGCAAAGTGAATAATCTCTTTAAAATCTGAATAATTCTTCCCTAGAGTTTTATTTCAAACTCTACGAAAGGCCTTCAATGAGATGTATAGACACGGTGGCTACGATGATGGGCTCAAGTATAGCAGGGATTATGGAGGTGGTACGGGATCGGGCATTGTTTCATTCTGCTGTGCATGGGGTTGCTATGAGTTGGAAATGACTCAACAACACCTAACAACAACAACAGAGTTTTATTTTAAAAGTTCAAATTGTTGGGGAGAGTGACTGCTCAGAGGGTGACTTTACTGAATAGGAAAGTAGACATTAAATGAGTCAAAATATTAATTCAGGGGAGACTGTACAGGTTAATCAGACCTCACAGACAGAGAGAAAACAAATAATAAAACAGAAATAAATGAATGAGCTTAGAATGACAATCCATATTTCAGCAAATAGAGCAAGGAGTCCAACTGAAGCTGACCTACAGAGTCCATTCTTAGTTGCTATGGTGATCAGATGCTCTTCTGAGGATAAAAGTGATATTATGGGAAAAATAAGCAATATTTTTTAATATAAAATATTCAATATTAAATACAAAAATTGGTATATAAATACAAATATATCTAAATTACAAAAAATGAAGAAACATCAAGATGGAACTAAAGGAATTTTTCTTTTGAAATTTTAGAAAATGAATGTTTTTGAACAATAATTCTTAACTTGGAGTTATATTTAAGCATCAGTGGATATTTGAATCCTTTGAATTACACAAAAATGTTTTTTGCATGTGTGTATTTATGTGTGTGCTTGTGTGTGTGTGTATGTATGTGTGTGTGTGTGAGAGAGAGAGATTCATAGATGGATGATGGGTTTTCTCAAGAGAGGGTCCATAGGGTTCAACAATTTTTCAGGTATTCTGAAAGTCGAAAAAACTTAAGAGCCACATTTTTGAGCAATGGTTTCCTCACTGGCAGTGCATGAAGGTTTTCCAGGACTATGAGAGCAAACATTTTAGAGTCTCAATTCCAGATCCTCCTTTCATAACTTTTGTCCTAAAATCAGTCTGCCTGAGAACTTCCTGTGACCTGCTCCTCCCTTCTCTTTTACAAATTCCTGCTTCACGAAAGAGTGGCTTTCTCTCACCACTAGTCTCTTTGATACCTATTGCAAAAAACTTCAATGAAAGGTGACAACGTTGGAATATATATTTACAGCAGCATAGTGCCTAAGGCACTTGACTGCCTACCAGAAGGCTGGTGGCTCAAACCCACCAGGCACTCCTCTGAAGGAAGATTGGGCAATCTACAACCGAAGTGATACTGCCTCAGAAACCCAAGGAGGGGTCGCTATGAGTCAGGTCCAACTCGTCGGCACATAAGAACAACAACAACAAACCAATAGTCTTAGCCCTCTATCTGAAATTATATTTTAAAAGTAAGCTTGTTGTGAGAACACCTAACACTTTTATTTGAACAAACAAACAAAATTATCTTAGACTTTTTCTAGTCAATTTGGTTGGTTCAACAATGAGTAAGATTTTAAGTTATATAGTAGTCATTCCCCATAAACTGAGAGTTCAATTTGTTAAATCTGCAGCTCCAATATTTTGATGGAAATATATTTAAAGCACATATACATTAAGTAACATGCCAGAAATTACATTCTTTATAACTACTTACTTGATGATGAAAAATTTTAGAGGCTGATTTTTTTTTTTAAATTTATGAGGGAACTACCAAGTTTGCAAAATTCTTTTATGGGTATGTAAGCAAAAAAATGGAAGACTACTTCTTTTAGAGGAAGTCTAAGTCAATTGGTTGCATATAGGTACTTGTAATACAAGCACACAGGTACTTGTAGTACTTTGACCATAGATGCTAATGCATAGGAGGGAAAGATTACAGTTAAACTGATTCAAACCAATTCTCTGTTGAGATGAGCTCTAACAGTCAAATGCACCTGTATCATGGAATCAGCTCCAAGACCAATGGGCATGTGTAACTCTTCTGTTATTTCTCAGTAATAGATGGCTTTATAGCTGGTCTTTACATTGGATTTGGATTCGAGCTGTGAAGTTCTATTGAGAACATTAATTAACTTAGAATTTTTTGTAAAAGGAAAAAGAAAAAGAATAATTTCAAGAGAAAATATGTTAATCATGGCAAATAAATGTCAAATCTTATTTCTAAGTTAATAACCTCAAACCTCACTGCCATTGAGTCGATTTGACTCATAGTGACCCCTCCTTGGGTTTCTGAGGCAGTATTCCTATGGAAGTAGACTGTCCAGTCTTCCTTCTGAGGAGTGGCTGGTGGGTTTGAAACAACAGCCTTCTGGTTAGCAGTCAAATGCCTTAGGCTCTATGCCATCAGAGCTTGGGTTTGCATTTTTGTCTCAAAAATGAACATTTTAGATTATATTCTGTTTTCTAATGAAAAGATTATATTCTGTTTTCTAATGAAAAGATAGACATTGTAATTACTTAATATTCACAAAGTAAAAAGATTTTGAACTAGAATATTATGGAGTAAGTCACTTACTTGACTTTTTAGTTATTTCTATTATTGACAATGACATAATGTGCTTTCTGTTACTTGTTTTTTACAAGTACTAGATTTCATATAAGGAGCTCTGGTGGTGCAGTGCCTGAGGCATTTGCCTGCTAACCAGAAGGTTGGAGGTTCAGATTTACATCCTTGGAAACCCAATGGGGGGCCGCTATGAGTCAGAATCAACTCAGTGGCAGTGAGTTTGGTTTTGGTTTTTCATATAGGAATAAAACAAGTTTTTATTTCAGTTAAGTCTTGTTTATTATCTCTGTGAACCAATTCCTAATTAAGATTTTATCTGTTAGACGTTCTTCATTGCCTTGACAAAATGAGATTGTCTCAGAATGAAGTGAAAAGCTATCTAGGGAAACGTGAAAGAAAATCTATTAGTTTATCTTTTTTTCATATTTTTAAAAAACTTCCCTTTACACTCAACCTCCAAAGTTTATGTCGGCTTTATAGTAAAGACATGCAGAAACATGGAAGTCAGTGGGCTGAAGGGGTTCATGATAATGGTGGCATGGAAACCTGAATGGAGGCACAGAATGTAGGCCAATATGCATAATAAAAGCAGCTACTTTATCACAGATTTTCAGAAGGTGAATATGGATCTATAAAGAAACATCCAAACCTAATGTACTAAGTGTTTGTGCTTGGGTTCTTGGATCCATCATCACGTATGATTCTCAGACAAAGCTTTCGTAAGTATTTGGACTGCTGGCCAAGTAGCAGTCTATTACTATCTCCTTAGGGTTAAATGTCTCTGCTCACTGTAGTTGCTCAGCACACTGGGTCTTAGTAAAAAGAAGCCAGAAAAAAATGGAGAAATCACATTGTCTCTGTTAACTGACAATGTGGTGATGTCTAGTTTTTATTAAGTATAAGAACTTTTTATGTGAGAAATTAAAGTATATGCATTCTATAACATAAATATTATTGCTATAAGAAAAGAATCACAAGAAGAGCTGAAACACTTTTACTTTAACAGCTTTAGAACATGAATTCATTTAACCACGTGCTTCCAGATACTTCATTTTAAAAAATGATTTAGAATTAACATCTTGAAACACCCATCTTATAGAAATTATTTATATATTTTATATTTAAATAATTTAGACCCTTGATAAACTATGGATTACATTTTAAAAATATGGATGGGTTAGAAAACTCATTTCAAACGCAGTGTAAATACAGCACTTCTACGTTTTTGAAATTACACTAACAGTGCTTATAGTTAGCATAAGGAACTTTAATTTCTTCTCTCCTTCTTTGGGCAAATCATGATTGGTTGTATTTTTTGGTTTGTTTTATTTTGTCACCCCATGACTGTCACTTTTGACTAGAATCTCCTTGTTCAATGTCAAAGTCATTTTAATTCCCCTTTTATTACTGATAACATTTCTATTGCTAATGTATGAAACTTAAAAAAAATCATATGTCAATGAAAAGCAGTCTTTGTTTCTTCATAAATGCCTCAAACACTTTGTAAAGCTATAAAAAGATTCCAAGTTATTCTTTTAGAGTAAAGGCTTCTTTAAAGGGAATAATTGTTTTCTTTCATGTCTATTTAAAACCACAAAATATGAAACCCATTTAAATTGCAAACATTTCAAATGACACCTGTTTCTAATTTGTTCACATTATTTCCCACTCTCTACAGCCCAACTAAAGACTGAAAAAGACATTCTGAACATAATGAGTGACATAGACAATTCACAAACAAACTGGCATAATTTAAAAAAGAAGAATCTTCTAATGAACATATGACATAATTTAACCCTTTTAAATCTATCTAAGGGATTTTGAAGTTTGGTTTGGGTCATTCCAAGTGCTCCAATATCTACCCTGCTAGCTGCCTGTCTTCCTGGTACACCTATTGGGAGTATAATTTTAGCCCTGGGCATTGCCACCTCTTCAGCAGAATTCTTTGGATGAAGAGCTGGGGAAGTTATTCAACAAGGACAAGACCAGGGCTCTTGCCCCATCCTCTTGCCAAATTCAGTAACCCTTGTGCTCATAGCATCTTAGGAGACATAAAATACTGATCTAGACATTATGGCACCTGTGGTCAGGTTCTACCTCTGATCTTGATTGCTCTAGGACATTGAGGCTCATGTAACACTCTGAGAATTTGTTTATAATCTGTACAAAGGGTACAAATTATTGCCCTTGATGTGTCTGTACCTCTGATTAAAATAGAAACATTAGAGATTGAAAAATATGAGACTATAATGCAAATATGTTATTCTAGTACTTTAAATTCCAGTAAAATATTTTGCATAGAGTATGTTCTTAATAAACATTTGGTGATTGATGGCTGAAAAGTTATTACTGAGTTCACTCTTCTTCAGCCCACATGATCCAATGGAGCTCTTAGGGAATAGGAATACACAGGGGGTGTGAGGGGGGGACTCATGGTACTCAGGAGAAGCCATCGTTTTTCCTGATCTTGCCTTCAGGAATACATCTTTTCATGAGATGAGTCCTAGGAAGTCTTGTGTGAATTCCACAGAGAGTGAAAAGTCAGTCTAGATTTGACTGTTACTGGTAATGCAATCTCTAGGAGATTTTATTACTATAATTTAGAAAATGTAAAGTTTGTACGTGACAGACATTAATTAAATAATTATCAAGACTTACAGAATGCTCTAAGATATTGCCCCGCCCCCAAATTAAGGGAATTTCTTAGGTTTTCAAGATAAACCACCAACTGCCGTTGAATAGTTTCCGACTCATGGTGACTATGTGTGTCACAGAACTGTGCTCCATGGGCATTTTAATGGCTGATTTTTCACCACAATTCTTATTTCTTTTTAATCTAATACACACTGCCACATAATAAACCTTACCAATGCTCTTTTGCATTTTCCTGTAGAGTGAACTATTAAGATATATTTTTTCTTTCATTCAGCTGTCAGTTTGTGGTACTGTGGTGGCTTATGTGTTTCTGTGAGGCTGGACACTATGCCACCAGTATTTCAAATACCAACAGGTTCAGTCATGGTAAACAGGTTTCAGCAGAGTTTCCAGACTATGATAGATTAGGAAAGAGGACCTGGTGATATAAATATACTTTACCCAAAACTCCATTATAGAACCTATTAATTTTTAAATTATTTACTTATTTATATGTGTCTAGAATATAAGATCTGAAACTGAAGGAACTATCTCTTATTCATCTGTGTAAACCTCTTGTATCCTACAATACTAGCACATGGTGGTGCTCAAGAATCATTTGTAAACTCAAAGAATAAAGGGATTATTCACATGACTACCCACCGATCACTCTAAAAGTCAGTCTAACTACAGTGACAAAATATTAAATAATGCCTAATGCCCAAGGAAATTTAATGTGTACTTCCCCCATTTATCCTTCCACCTTAGCTGAATTGTGAAAAAATTTTAGAAAGGGCTATTCTCATTAAGGAACCCTGGTGGAGCAGTGATTAAAGTGCTTGGCTGTTAACTGGAAAGTCTGTAGTTCAAACTCACCAGCCACTCTGTGGGAGAAAGATGTAGCAGTCTGCTTCCACTGACCTTATGGGTCAGTTTTACTCTGCCCTATAATGTCTCTGTGAGATGGAATAGACTCAATGGCAACAGGTTTTATTCCCATCAAATTAAAAAAAAATATGTAATATAGACTGATTTAGGCATGCTAGCTCTTTTTAGAAACAACATACCAAAAAGGTTTCTCAAATACTTTCTTCGCTTAATTATTTTCTCATTGCTTTCCCTACCTGTAAAACCAATGTCTAAAGATAAGATTGCCAATGGGAATGGGGAGAGAGGCGAAGCAAGTAGGATAATAATTATTCAAAGAGAAAAAAACATTTTATTCTCACATTCTGTTATATTAGTTTTCAGACAAGTTGCAGCATAAATATCCCAATACCCCCTCACCTTGACATGTTTTTCCATTTAACATGAGTTGATAACCAGGCGGGCAGATACACTGATAACTTCCAAAGGTATTTTTACACTCATGCTGGCAAGTGTCTCTATTTTCACATTCATCAATATCTGTTCAGAAAGAAAGCAGAGTGTATTTATACAGATAAGCAAAACAAAGGCAGAAACCATGACAGAGCTAACTATAAACAAGCTGTTGCTATACCAGAGCAAACATTTTTGGTGGTTTTATATCCATGTGCTTAAAAATGCTCAACATTGTTTTATATCAGGATGTTTTTAATTAGGTTTGTATAAACTATACTATATTACAAAATGTGAACATTTCTTCTGTGTGTAAGCATATATGAACTGAATCCCAAAACTGGCCAATTTTCACATTTGTTAAATGAGGCAAGAGTCAAATGACAGAGGAAACTGATTTGTACAAGGTCCTAAGCCACCATAGTACCAAAGTCTTGACAGAATGGTAGAACTTACTTAAAAAATGAAGCTACTATTCAGATGAATTGGAAAAAGGGATATCAGTTTTAATTCATTTAAACTTCAGTGTTCTCTCTCTCCCTGCCCTCCCCACATGCACAGTTTCCCTCCACACAGATATCATCAAACACCACAAATATCTTATGATAGGAATATTCACTCAAACTTTTCATACAACTGTAAAGTACTAACAGCAATTATTTAAGTTGCTTTCTAACATGGGTTCATAGCCAGGTGGGAGAAACACTGAGAACTTCCCAAAGGTATTTTTACATTCATGCTAGCAGGTGTCCCTACTCTCACATTCATCAGTATATCTGATAGGTATACTTTAAATATACCTAAATATTTATACTTTTTGTGTTACTTTGGATGGGCCACTTCAAGTCTCAAGATCTGTTTATTCATTCACCAGAAGGAGATATCGATATAATCTGTTCTATTTCATAGGTTTGTTGGGAGGTTCATGTACAGTAATATATGGGTAAGAATTTTATAAATTATAAACATCTATTGGGAGCTCTGGTGGCCTAGTGCCTAAGGCATTTGACTGCTAACCAGAAGGCTGATGGTTCAAATCCTCCAGCCACTCCTCAGAAGGAAGACTGGGCAATTTACTTCCATAGAGATACTGCCTCAGAAACACAAGGAGAGGTCGCTATGAGTCGGATTCAACTCAATGGCAGTGAGTTTGAGTTTTATCTATCTGGTATTATTAAGGGAGCTCTGGTAGCATGGGGCCTAAGGCATTTGACTGCTAACCAGAAGGCTGGCAGTTCAAACAAAGCCAAGAGAATAACAATAAAAAGGATAGTTAAGAAGAGATTACAATTCAAAATTAATTGGTATTTGCTTTCAGAATAAGAGATGTGGTTTTGGGGTCTCATATTTCTCTTCCCAATTGTGTTTGCATTGGCCAATATTAACATTCCCAATGCCTGAGCACACATCAATCAATGGGAGAATAAAGAGGAGAACATGGCATGAAATGGAAGCAAAAGTGCACTATGGTGGAACTAAAGAGAAGACAGAGGGAAAATTGGGAGATGACTCAGAACATGAGGATCTGTTCATTTTGCATATTTTGCATATTCACATGTATGTGCAATGATTCAAAATCTGTTAATGATAATACTCATCAAATATTTGCCAATGTTTTTGCATCATTTCAGTTAACTAAGGCATTAGTTCCACAACTTGTGTTGTTTTCTTGCCTATAGAATATGCTTTAACCAAAAATAGCAACTCATATTTAAATGATATTGAACTTCAAGTAGTTAACATAGCACTTCCCAGAGAATGAATTTTAAAGTGGACTCAGGTGTGACTTCTGCAAAGGGAACCCTACATTCAGAAGCAATATGATGTTCATTATTCCTATTCAGCTTTGGAATCTATTCCTTAAAAAGCTACATTTCAGCCCAAGTTTAAAAGATTCCACAGTATTAATTTCAACCTTTTGTAAGCTGTGTTTCTCAGATGGTTAATTAAAAAGCACTTAGTTTTTATTCCAAATTGTTCTTGTTTCATAATTTCAAAGCTGTCCGGAATCTTGTATAAATTTCTTTATTAATGCCCAATACAATAAAATACCATATTTTAGAAAACATCTACCCCAAAAGAAAACTTAAATATCCAACATTCAACTGAGTAAAAGTGATAAGAGAATCTGGGTCCACCTAAGAGAAAGAAGAAAACGGTATAGAAACAGGACTTGGAGAAAGAGACGGCAAATGTTGGACTCAGGGGAAGAAGAGATGTTTAAGAAGTGTAAAAGAACTGCTTAACAGAAACCATATTTAGGAGAGTATATACCAAGTGCTGAGCACTTATGAGAAATGTAAGAAAATGTAGTTGAAATAACAACCTTTGAATTTCAACATATTTTTTCCTTGCCTTCCCTCTTCTCTTCCTCCCTCCCTCCTTCCTCCGTCCTTCTGCTCTTCATTCCTTGCTTTCTTTATTCATCTAACAAATAGTGCAGCAATGAACTATATGTTCCTTGTGTCCTGTCTGCTGATTTCCCTTGGTTCCTAGCTCAACGACATACAAAGTGAGGATACTCTCAGAAAATTGAGTTAAATAAATGACAGATGGCAATGTTTGCAACTTAACTGAAAATAAGACTGCAATTCTTGACATGGAAATTACACTTTTACAAACAAGTGAAATTACAGATTTGTAAGTTTAGATAAAGATATTGAAAGCACATATGTTAGAGTGAATGAAGCAATGCTATTTTCTTCTGGCTCACATTATCTTTTAAGTGACTTATATAAACACAAAGATGTTTCTCAATGGTACTGAGAAATTCCATGGGGAGTGCAGGGTAGTCAATGAGATGCCAGTTGTCATAGAGAGCAAACAATCAACAAAAGTAGCTGAAATTGTCACACTATTTTGGGATCAATCAGAGATAGCCATAATCACATAGTATTAGATTACGTGGCATTGTGTATATATATATATGTATATATATATTTTTTTTTTTAAGAAAAACATAATCTGGATGCCACTGAAATTTATTGCTACATAGCATTAAATTTAGTAACACTTTCAGAAGTGATCAAAAGAAAAATTGGTATATAACACAACAAATTTTTAGAATGCATATTTATAAATAGATCATTTATCTGAATAAAATTTGTGATAGTTTTGGTACCAGGGTAACTGTTTTAAAATATCAAGACATCCTAGACTTGAGATCAGATGTAGTTGCACTCACACTATTACAGGTGCTATAAATATGCATAGTCTCTGGTCAGTAAGTGAGCCCAAAGAAAGGAAATGCAATACGGCTGACATTTACCTACACATGTGTCATGGCTTGCCTCAGAGCCTTCAGGACAAGTTTTCCTAATAGTCCTTCTAGTCCTGGAGAGAGATGTCCTGCTGTTTCTATACTCTGAGTAGGAGCTGTAGAGATGTGAGTACTGTCTGTAATGCTGTTGAGGTTGATAGTTGTTTCTCACAGGGGAGAACCGTGCAGGGTTATAGCTACTGTACTGAGTGCCATAATTGGGCAGCCTCTCCAATCCAGCGCAAGATTTCCCGTCCCCTAATAAATGTTGTCCTGGGGGACAGATACACTTGAAGCTGCCGGGGGTGTTGGAGCACTGATGTGCACAAGGTTTAGGCACTTGTTCACACTCATTAATGTCTGCTCGTGTGGCATGATACATAAAAAAGAGAAAAAAACAAAAACACACATACACACAAAACATAGGAATAAAGAATCAGTCTGTGAAACAAATAGAGGACATTATGTTACCCTTCAAAGCCAGGAATATACACAGTAATTTCTCCTCAACCGATATGAACCATGGAGAAAGCTTTAATCACCCAGTTTTGGAATGCTGTATATAGAAAGATTCTGTGTCACTCTCTAAAAATTACTTCAAGCTTTATTTGAACGTTTTCTTTGGAGTGAGTGGCTCAGAAAACTGGACACTAATTTTGTGAATCCTTCCTCCTTGTAGTTTTAGCTTCATGGCTTCACTAAGACCCAGTGAACTCTGTCGTATCTCCTTGTCTGAGGAAAAACAACTTGGATATGGGCTAAACTGCCACACATTATTACACATAATTTTAAGTCCAATATTGGCATCTTAAATCTTGTACACCTATATACAAGTTTCTGAGTTCAACTAGGTAGGTACATACCAAACTGTTGATATATACATATCTTCCTCTTGGGGAAAAAGGTTCAAAAGAGTGTGGAATTCAAAATTAATAAAATTAATATTAAACTGCAATTAGAAAACAGTCTCAGTAGTATCTCTTAATACAATGATATCTGAAAATATTCAACTTCATTTCTTAACTTACTCTTTCTTTCTTTGGACAAATATCTGTTTTAGATGCTATTTTTCATTTTCATAATTGGTTGAAAAGGTTGGAAATAGTTCATTTATTTAAATACAATTTTTGTAAGTATATAACTCCCTTTATGGAGGAGGCCTGGAGGTGTCAGAGTTAAGTACTTGGCTGCTAACTCAAAGGCTGTGGTTCGAACTCACCCATGGCTCCCCAGGGGAAAGACCTGGTGATCAGCTTCTGTAAAGATTTCAGCTTAGGAAACGCTACAGGGCAGTTCTACTCTGTCCTATAGGGTCACTATGTGTCAGGATGAACTCAATGGCACACAACAATAACAGCTACCTTTATCTTTGTCTGTTTATTTTTATGTAAGTAAACTTGGTATTTCTCTATCCACCTTTTCCTCCCATGGTTTCACCTCTACAAAGCAGTGAGAGTAATTGTTTCTAAATGTAAATCACTCTGCTCCTCTGCTCAAGACCTTCTGTATCTTCCCATCACACCTTTAAAATAAAATCTAAGATCTTCTTTGTGACCTCATTGGTAGCGTAATGCCTAAGGCACATGACTGCTAACCAGAAGGCTGGTGGTTCAAACCCACCAGCCACTCCTCAGAAGGAAGGTTGGGCGATCTACTTCCATAGTGATACTGCCTTGGAAACCCAAGGAGGGACCGTGAGTCGGGTCTGACTTGACAGCACATGACAACAACAACAACTTTGTTCCATCAACACAGACCTTCTGACTGATCCCTCAGCCTGGAATACATTTGCCAAACTTTCTGCAGCTGCTCCTTTATTTCATTCAGTCCCTTTGAGAGGCTGCCAGGATCACAGTGTCATCACCCTAGCCTGGATTACCCTTTCCTCTTATCCTGATTTAGTTTTACTTAAGTGCTTATCATACTGGAATTATAGTTTATATTTGTGTCATAATTATTGTTGCTCTCTATGGAATTAAAACCATGAGGACAGAGAACTTGTATGTTCTGTTTAACATCATATCCTCATGACCTAGAATATTGTCCAGCACAAATTGGATGCTCAATAAATGATGAATTAATGAAAAACTGAGTTTAACATGATGTGCCAAATTAAGGCTCCAACAGAACATGAAGGGTCATATGGGAAAATGTATTCTTGAATCCAGAGAAATCATAGTTTAAAAGCTAATATAGATCTGAATTCTGTTGGTAGGATGGTAGACCACAATCATGTTTCTAGTTCACATTTAATTAGAATATTGATCACTAGTGTCTTTAATCTGCCATACAATTACAAGTTTTACATGCAAATATACTGATACAACTACAAATTTCATTTTCTCCTCTTTTGAATGAAAAAATTCAAACTAATAATCAAGGCCAACCACACTTTTTTCAAAAGATTAAAAAATAGGAAATGAAGACAGAATCATTTCTTCTTAAGACATAAACTCACAAGGCTCATAAAGTTAAAATATATATATTTCTATTTCTATGTTAAAACAGGGAGCTCTGGTAGCGTCATGCCTAAGGCACTTGACTGCTAACCAGAAGGCTGGCGGTTCAAACCCACCAGCCACTCCTTGGAAGAAAGATGGAGCAATCTCCTTCTGTAGTGATACTGCCTTGGAAACCCAAGAAAGGGTCGCTATGAGTCAGGTCCGACTCGATGGCACATAACAACAACAACAACAATGTTAAAACAAGGTGTTATATACTCCAAATCTCCCTGCAAATTGAAAAGTGAATGAAAACCAGGGATCAACACCAAATTCTTTAATCCATTAACACACTTGCATGAAAGAAAACAACATGAATAAGTAGAATAAAAATAGTAAATTACACTTTGAAAACTATTTGAGGAGGCATTTATGTTTTTAAACTCCTCAAGGCAGTGGCCTTGCCTTCTTTATTATTTTATCCTCCAGCCCAATGCCTGACATTCAACTGCTGATCACATTAATAAACAGATATACATATTTCACTCTAATGGGTCACTGTTGTGACTGATTAAGATGTTAAATTATATACAGACAGAAGACTAAAATAATATTCACTTCTGCTATCAAAAAACATTTATTTTAAGAGAGTATCTAGTCATGACATTAATTTGAATATTTGCTCTGTGCAATGTATTATTCTAGGGACTGCATAAAGACAGGACTTAGACTATATGGAAGAATTTGCAATAAATAATTGTTAAGCAGACAACCAAGACAACCAATTTTAAAAGCATAGCATGAAACCTAGAAGACAGTATTTAAAAGCCCATGCAATTTTTTATGGAATTTAAATAGTCTAGGGAGGAATATAATTTGATAGATGAGTTTTTTGGTTATAAATGCATTCATTTAAAAACGTATATGGTTACTTTCTTACAAATATTTTCTCAGGTCTATTATCGGACTTACTTTATATTTAATTATAACTCAGATGGAAACAAATAAGCAACTGGGAGAAACAAAGGAGATATTCTTAGCATATTCTTTACGCAATGAATGGCATATAGTAAATGAATGGTAGATGAAGTACTAGTTATCAATTTGTTTAAATATTGAATTCATAGTTTAATCCCTCATCCCAAACCTCATTCTGTATACTTAAAATGTATCTATGCAAACATTTATGTCATGTTCTTAGATAATTAATAAGATAATCTCGATCATTAAGTTGTCATGGCAATTATGTCACAGCCTCATTTTGATATGTGTGATGTATGGTAAGTATTCAGTAATTGATTATCATTATCATTTAAATAGTAATGTAAACTATTATTGTTCAGTATAAACTGAACTCATTGTGAAGTCTCTAAAGAAATAAGCAAAATTATTAATTATTTAAACCAACTTACATTACCTAAGAAAGTAAGCATGGCTAGGTAACTCCATTAAGTGGCTTCATTACTCAACAACTTACCCATACAGGGTCTTCCAACACCTTGAGATCGATAACCTCTTGGACACACACAACGATAGCTGCCTCTTGTATTTTCACATATCTGGTTATATCTGCACTGATGAGTCCCATCTTTACATTCATCAATATCTATAGACACAGAGGCAACAAAAAGTAGTAGCATTTCTTCTTTCAAACCCCAAAGTTATTATATTTAAAATAAACCTTTTGCAGCAATTGTCAAAGTTGCATTTCTCAGCATTTGGGAAGAGATCACGTCGACTTAAGACTTAGAGTCAAAAATCCTGGTCAAGTTCTAGTTCTCTCACTGATTAACTTGCTCCTTTTCCTCCTGTTCCCTAATGAGGAAAGAGTTTTATATTCAGGGTTTCCTCCAACCTCCTCTTTTGGCCATCTTATTTATTCTAGTGACTTCCACTAGTAACCTTGTTTATACAGATCTAGAGGAGTAGCGGTTGCTTCTGATTTCTGGTCCCATATTTCTAGCTGCTAACTGGACATTGCCATCTCTTTGATGTACCAGTTGTTCAAACTCAGCAAGTCACCAGTTTCTTATCCTTACTCCCTTATTTCTGATAATGGCATTCATGTGTTCCCAGTCAACTAGGACGCAAATGTTAGTCTTTGACTTACTCTGTCTTCTGCCAAGATTTGGTAATTCTACCTTCTTCAATCAAACCCATATATTTCCCCATTTCCAATCCCCCTTAGCTAGATTTTTTTTGCAGTAGCTTCTTAGTTGACCTTCTGATCTTTCAGTTAATCTTCCTTCTAATTTATGTTAAACATAATTATATGGCCCATCTTCTTAAAAATATGTAAACTTGCATGTAACTGTGCATGGTGCCAAGTTGGGTGCTATTGTTACAAGTTAAGAAAAGTATTTACCTATATTCATAGTATTATAGATAAAAAGAGTTTTAAGTTTGATAGTAAACTGTTCTAATTTATTTTTTATTTAAGCTTACTTATTAAGGGAAAATTTAAGCATATACAAAACTAGAGAGAAAAATATAATGAATGTCCATGTACCTCAGTAAGTATCAACACATTGTCAGTCAGTCTTTTTCTAAATCTCTATAACACCCACCCTCTTATTATTATATTATTTTGAGGCAAGTTCATTTTATAACTGTATTAATATATATTTTAGAATATTTTTAAATCTCCTATTTTATAAATGAGAAACTTAAATGCAAATTGCTGCATGGTCTTGAGCTTGAGACTTGTCCAAGGGCACATAGGCGTCAAGAAGGAAAGATTAATTTTTAACACTTTCTATACTTTTTCTTCCTTTTCCACCCATTAACATTTCCTCCAAGACTCTATTTAAATGTGGTCACTTCCATGGGATCTTGATAATCATTCCTGTAAGATTTGATCAGTCTTTCCTGGGTACTCTCATACAATTTTATTTATACCTCTTCTATGGTATTTCATTTTGCTTTATATTATAGCTTTTTTTTTTTTTTTGGTTGGTTTCTCTTTGTAAGGGAAGGGGATTAGCCAATCTACTCTAGCAGATTGTGAGTATGTGAGAGCAGGAATGGTAATTGTTTTGTTTTTGCAAATCCTGCAGTTTGTAGCTCTGCTAGCTCTACAGACAAGGAAGAAATATAAGATACTGTATTGTCTGATAATTATTTTGACATTAAAAAAAAAATACTTACTTCTCAAATACTTATTTCTGAGCTTTTAAACATCTTTACCGACATAATTTTTTTCTTAGCCCACTACATGAAATTCTAAATATATATGCTAAATTTCATATCAGAAACAATGTTATACAGTAATAAATTATGTGGTAGTAAACTGCCTCAGAAACCCAAGGAGGGGTCGCTATGAGTCGGGGCCGACTCAACGGCACATAACAACAACAACAACAAACTATATAAGCCAACTATGTAACTGATAAGGTCTCGAAATTGTCATGGGTCTCTATGACAAGTTTCCATTTCCTGGCATAGCTATGACCTTGGGGTCCTGAGCACAATCATACTAAAGGTGGGAGCTAAAATCTATGAAAAAATAACGACTTCCCTGTTAGCTAACATTTACTCTATGCATTAGTTTTAAAAAAGGATGCCTTCCTTGGCTTCTTGATGGTGTTGGTCACTAAATCCTACACTTACCGATGCAGGTTCCATTTTCGGCCTTGGTCATCCCATTTGGACAAAGATCAATGCACCTATAGCCACCCCGGCTGTTCTGGCAATGCTGATCTGGTCTGCATACATTCTGCCTACACTCGTTCACATCTTGATCAAAGAACAAAGGAAATGCAGATTGAGAAAATAATTTCTTCTACTTTTCCAGAGAAACCATACATTAGATTTTATGAATGTAAGATTAAGGTGCTTAAATATAATAAGGTACATGACATACTTTATATTAAAACAAATTAATAAAAATAAAGACCAAAATATTATTTCACAGAACTGGTAGCCATGCATACTAGTTCCACCTAGAAAAATTAAAATTATATATACATACATAACTAAAAACTCACTGCCATTGCATCAATTCTGACTCATAGTGATCCCCATTGGGTTTCCAAGGCTGTAAATCTTTACAGAAGTATACTGCCTCATCTTCTTCCCAGAGCAGCTGGTGGGTTTGAACCATGGACCTTCTGGTTAGCAGGCAAATGCTTTACCCACTATACCACCAGAGTGGTATATACACCAAAACCAAACTCACTGTCGTTGAGTCAGATCTGACTCATAGCAACCCCTCCTTGGGTTTCTGAGGTGGTATCACTACGGAAGTAAATTGCCCTATCTATCTATCTATCTATCTATCTATCTATCTATCTATCTATAGTTTTATGTATTGTATATTGTATACCATATACAATATATATTTGTATTGTATATGCATATACAATATATGTTGTATTATATGCATTGCATATGTGTGTACCATATACAATATATATTGTATGCCATATACATATGGTATATATATTCATGTACATGTACTTACATATGTAAGTATGTGGTGTGTGTATGTGTGTATCACAATTTTGTGGGAAAATTTTATAAATATGATAGGGAAAATATAGATAAAAAGGTTATATAATTAGAAAATGAAACCTCTAAAGCATAGCATTTGCCTCCAGTTTGTTTTTACATAGATTACATTCAAGACACATAGATGTCCTACGTATATAAATCAGACCCAGAACACAACATATGCCTTCAGTTCAGGAAGCACTAAGAAGTTACAGAAATACCATTGCTTAGAACTCAAAGCCAATTTCTTACCCACACATTTTCTGCCTTTGAGTTGATACCCAGGTTCACACCCACAGTGGAAACTTCCTATGGTATTGGAACAGCGCTGACGACAGGGGCTGGATTCCTGACATTCATTAATATCTGCCAAATAAAACAAAACTTTCATTATATGCTATTAGGAAACTTGTTTAATTTATCCCAAATGTTTAACATTGTAATAATTTTTGATCATTACTATGTTTAAGATTTTCTAATCTAATGCATTTACTCTCATATGATCTGCCATATAACTGATAGGCTCAATTGCTGAAGAAGGCATCTCTCTTCAATATTTCTCAAAGGCAGTATTTACTAATGACTCAGAATGATGTTGGTGCAACATTCCTCTATTTCAAGTATTTCACCATATGGCTCCCACCCGTTTCTAGGAAGTTTCAGCCCTCAAATGTTGCAGATAGACTGGGATAGTGAAGATAGGAAGGAAAAAAAAAAATAAAAAAGCTAAGATCTTTTACAATGTCTTTTGAAATTGATTTACTTTCCCTGTCTTGCTTTTATTAGCCCAATGAATATCTTTAAAACCTTATGCCTGATTGGCTGCAGCCACATGAGCATTTTCCCTTGTCTACACTTATTGCCAAATTAATCTTCCCAAACAACACCTAACTTAGAGTGTCATAGGAAGAGTGCAGGCATGAACTCCTCTGAACTCCTTGTGTATTTCTGGTACATTCTCTGCTCTCCTGTCTCAGAGGAAGAATGACCATTTCTTAACAGAGAGATAGATGATAAATGATAGATAGATAGAGAGACAGACTGACAGATAGCTCGCTTCCATGAAGTCGTCTTTAATGTTGATATTTACAACAGAACGAAATGTTGCCAACTCCTGTATCATCTTTACATTCTACAGCATGTTTGAGTCCTCCACCAAACATGATGGCCTCCTCCATCAATTGATACCTACTGATGATGGGTCCAGAAGAGGCAAATCTGACAGTGTTCTGTTGTGATTCATAAGGTTTTCATTCACTAATTTTCAGAAGTAGATCATCAGGCCTTCTTTCTTATTTTGTCTTAGTCTGGAAGCACCTCTGAAACCTGTCCACCATGGGTGACTCTGCTGGTATCTGAAATACTGGTGACATAGCTTCTAGCTTCATAGCAGCACACAAACCACCACAGAATGACACACTGACAGATGGGTGGTGTTTTAGAACAGTTCCTCTATTTAGGCCCTGCAGCCCATCTCTTTCTTCCTCAGCGGGAATAGGATTGTTCATCAATCATTCCCTTCTCTTGTGTATTTTTTTAGGTCTTTTCTCTTTACAAGAACTCTGGTGGTATAGTGCCTAAGGCATTTGACTGCTAACCAGAAGGCTGGTGGTTAAAACCCATCAGCCACTCCTTGGAAGGAAGGTTGGGCAATCTACTTCCGTAGAGATGTTGTTGTTGTTGTTGTTATGTGCCGTCGAGTGGGACCCGAATCGCAGCGACCCCTCCTTGGGTTTCTGAGGCAGTATCACTACGGAAGTAGATTGCTTCATCTTCCTTCCGAGGAGTGGCTGGTGGGTTTGAACTGCCAGCCTTCTGGTTAGCAGTCAAGGCACCATATTGCCTCCGAAACCCAAGGAAGGGTCGGTATCAAACTGATTTGATGGCAGTGAGTTTGTTTTTTGTGTTTTTTTCCTGTTTACTGTCATTGTTCCCATAACTCTGTAAGCATGACCAAATCTTTCCTATTCTAGAAAAATTTCTCTCGCTGGACTCAAGCTCCTGCCACTTCTCTTTCTCTGACAAACCCTACAAAAGAACAACCACCACATTTAGATTTTTCACATCCTCACCTACATTCCATCACAAACCTGAAATCACCAATATATTTTATTTTGTGCTTGTTTTCTATTTTATCTTTGAATTTAATCTCTTAAAATCCACATATATGCTAATTTATAGAAATGCACAAATGTAACATTGGCTTGTTCTTTCTCCACAAATTTTCTTTTTAGTCTCACTAAAATCCTCTCTGATTAAATAAAATGTTCTACTTAAGTTTTCTCCATGAAATTCCAGCTAATTTCCTTAATTTTGTTCCAACTCTTATTTTCTCTTAAAACGATCTATAATGCAACTCTTTTTCTTTTCTTGTTTCATTTTTTAAACTCCCTGTTACTCCCTCCTCTATCCCCTGGTAACCACTAATCTTTTGCCTCCATGGATGTGCCTATTTTAGATACATTTTTTTCATAAATGGGATAATACATTTGTCCTTTTATGTCTGATTTATTTTACTTAGCATAATGTTGTCATGGTTCATCCATGTAGTGGCATGTATCAGAACTTCATTTTTCTTTATGGATGAATAATGGTACATTCTATGAATACACTGCATTTTGCTTATCCATTCACCTGTTGATGGACACTTGAGTTGTTTCTACCTTTTGGCTATTGTAAATAATGCTGCTTTGACAACTTGTGTACAAGTATCTGAGTTCCTGCTTTCAAATTTTTTTATAGCCAGGAGTGGAAGGTCATATACATTTTTTGTCTGTTTGTTTGCATTTCTTTTTTTTTCTTTTATTGTGATTTGGGTGAAAGTTTACAGAGCAGATTCATCTTCCATACAGCAGCTCACATACACTTTGTCTCATGACATTGACTGCAATCTCCCACAATGCAACAGGTCTCCTCCCACTTCCTCCCCATAGCCAACTCTTCTCTGTGTCCTTCTCTCCCATGCACTCCTGCCCCCTGAGCTGTCTCCCTGTGCATACATAGCTCTTCTATTCTTCCAGGATTGATCTCTCCAAGGAGTGTATCTATCTAATGTAAGTGTTCATTCATATGCCTATCTTTTGTTTGTCTGGAAGCCATAGGAGTAGGTTCAATTCCAGACCCAAAGGGCAGCTAGAGGCCATACTCTCAGGGGTTCCACCAGGCTCTATCAGACCACAAACCTTGTTTTTTTTTTTTAAGATTTTAAGTTTTGTTCTACATTGTTCTCTCTTTCCAGGATCTCCTACATAGATCCCCCTCTGAGTGGGAGTGGTTGACAGTGGTAGCCAGATACTTTCTAGTTCTAGTCTCACAGTTGTATAGGCTAAGGATTGCATGTTGTACCAGCCCCTTGGACTAATTGTTTCCATGTGTCTTTGGTTTTCTTCATTCTTCTTTTCTCTGGACAAGAGATACCCATTGTTGCATCTAGATGTCTGCTTGTAAGCTTTTAAGATCCCAGTCGTTATTTGCCAAAGTAGGATGTGGGACAATGTTTTTATGCCAATTGAACTTGATGTCCCCTGCGACTATGGTCCTGAGCTCATAGGTCCAACTACTTGCTCCCTCTGGGTAGCTGGCTGTGGCCAAGAAGTGACTATAACCTTGTCCTTTGTCAGTTCTACTATTTACCTGGGGATTCTTATAGAACATTCAAATACACTTGTAGAAACATTACCTGCCAACCATACACATGGTCATGGGCACACTCCCCCTTGCATAAAAACCAAACTCACTGCCATCGAGTTGATTCAACTCATAATGACCCTTCCTTGGGTTTCCAAGGTGGTATCTCTATGGAAATAGATTGCCCAGTTTTCTTTCTGAGGGGTTGCTGGTGGGTTTGAACCACCAGACTTCTGGTTAGCAGTCAAATGCCTTAGGCACTATGCCACCAGAGTTTATTCAGGCCTGTAGACCCATATATCCACTTGTAGATCGATGTTTGCCATCACTGGAAACCCAGTACTATATGTACAAAAGGGTTCATTTTTGTTGTCTGTACCTCCCATGCACCTTTCTCTGTCTTCCTATTCCTCAATGCCACCATGCTGATCACTCACATTTGGCACACTGCCCTTCTTTTCACCCAAATCAATACTTGTCTCTACCTATCCAGCAGTGTTCCCTCCCCTTCCCTCCCATTTCTGATAACCAACAAAGAAAATTTCCTGCCATATATAAACCTTTCCTTGACTTTTTATTATAATGGACAATATTTGCCCTTCTGTGATTGACTTATTTCACTCAGCATAATGTCCTACAAGCTCATCCATGGTATGCAGCATTTTGCAGATTCTATGTTATTCTTTAGGGTTGCGTAGTAATCCACTGTGTGTATGTACCATTCTTCTGTTGATGGGCACCTAGGTTGCTTCCAACTTTTTACTACTGTAAATAGTGCTGCAATGAAAATGGGTGTGTGTGTGTATGTATATATATATATATATATCTGTTCTTGTCCTGGCTCTCACTTCTTTAGGCTATATACCTAGCAATGGAATGGCTGGGTCAAATGGTATTTCTAATTCCAGCTTTTTAAGGAATCATCATACTTCTTTCCACAGTGGTTGTATCATTTTACAGTCCCATTAGCAGTGTACGAGAGTTCCAATCTCTCTAAATCCTCACTAGCATTGGTTATTTTCTGTCGAACTTTGCCATTAGTGCTGGGGTGAGATGGTATCTCATTGTTGTTTTGATTTGCATCTCTCTGATGGCTAATGAAAAGATCATGTACTTTAAAAAGATGTTTCTTAGCAAAATTCTTCTCTTCCTTTTCTTTTTTTGCTTGGTGCCCCTTACCTGTTTTTATCCTCCTTGCCCACCAAAAGCTACGTACTTACTAACCTAGTATGAGTCATAACATTCTCTCTCCCTCTCTCTATGTGTATGTGTATGTATATATACATCCATTGTTGTTGCTGTAAACATGTTAATATATACCTAAATATATAAATCCATTTTTTTTCCAGTTACATGTACTTTTCTACATTTTGCTTTTCTAACTCAACAACACTTCATGGACATCCCTCTAAGCCAAACAGTATTTATTAATCATTCTATAATGCATAATGCCTATATAATGGTTGATGGTGTAGATGAATCACCATTCATTCATTCTTTCTACAATTTATAGGCATTCAGTTTGTATCCACTGTTTTTGCCTCTATGAAAAATCCTGCAATAAAAATTCTAGCAGTCTCATGCACTGGACCTTTCTGGAATATATTCTATTAGATTTTGCTGTATAATCTCTCTCAAATGATTATAGCAAGATGTTAGCAGTGGATTGAATCCACTGTGCCACCAACACTTACAAAAGAAGTCTAACATATAAAACATGTAAAATGAAGTTGAGATTTAAATTCTGCTGAGGGACAGAAGTCCCAGTTGCTTAGTATCTACCTGCTCTGTTCTTTATCCATCCCCTCTCCTTGGAGTTTCCTGAGAGAGTTTCAATGATTCAAGGGGTAGGTGGCCTTAATTATTACTATGTTGTTGTTGTTATTTGCCATCGAGTTGGACCTGACTCATAGCGACCCCTCCTTGGGTTTCCAAGGCAGTATCACTACGGAAGTAGATTGCCCCATCTTCCTTCCGAGGAGTGGCTGGTGGGTTTGAACCGCCAGCCTTCTGGTTAGCAGTCAAGTGCCTTAGGCACTATGCTACCAGAGCTCCCAATTATTACTATATTAAAAATAAAACAAAGGCCTCTATTTTTATACCTTGACAGCTCAGCCCATCAGAAGTTCTTCGAAAGCCAATTCCACAACGGACGACACAGCGATAGGATCCAATGGTATTGTCACAGTCTTGTCCCACATGGCAGGTGTGTCCTCCCAGAGCACACTCATCAATATCTGCAACAGAGTGAGTCTTTCAGCTGAAGTAACTGAAGAAAACCCAGCCTAAGAATCAGTTGTGAAATGGGGACAAGAGAAGTGATGAATGGCACTTGGAAAATATTGGGTCATTTCAGGTGGGTTAAATAGCTGACAAGCTCATAGGAGCATGGTATGATAACTTCACAGGTTATCTGATTAGTTAGATCACTTATGAATTAGATTGCTTTAAAAACCTTACTTCCCCTTTTAAAATCTGAGCTTTCTCATCTGTAAAATGAGGACAATAATTCCTGTTCCTCAGAATCACTTTGAAAACTAAATGAAACAATGTATATAATATACTAATCCACACTGGACATTCTATAAAAGTTATCCCCCTCCCCTTCTGCATCCCCTACTCCTCTCCTTTGCATTTGGACAGGTCTTCCTGGAACACAGAAATCTTCCTTTTTTCACTTTTGATTTATTTATAAAATTAGGTACTTACACAAGTCTATTTTGGGGGAGGGGGTACATAAAGTTTGATAGAAAAGTGGTTTTTTGGTTTGTTCTTTTTTAAATCTCCCCAAATGCTATCCAAACCAAAAAACAAACTTTCACCAAGTAGATTCTGACTCACAGTGACCCCCAGTGGCTTTCCAAGGCTGTAAATCTTTACAGAAGCACACTGCCTCACCTTTCTTCTGTGGAGCAACTTGTGGGTTCGAACCACTGACCTTTTGGTTACCAGACAAACACCTCAACCACTACACCACCCTCTGGTGTGTAATTTAGAATATATTCCATAGCTCCTTAAAATGCTATGAGGAGTGTGCAATTTACTGAACCTCTTTGTTGTTTGTTGTGTGCCACTCAATCAGTCCCAACTCATGGCAACCCTATAAGACAGAGTATGGGATTTCCAAGGCTGTAATCTTTATGGGAGCAGATCATCAGATCTTTTCTTCCGTGGAGCCGGCTGGTGGGTTTGATCTTTTGGTTAGCAGCTGAGTGCTTAACCACTGTGCCACTCAAAACTCACTCACTACTGTTCAGTCGGATCTGACTCATAGCAACCCCTCCTTGGGTTTCCAAGGCAGTATCACTATGGAAGTAGATTGCCCAAACTTCCTTCCAAGGAGTGGCTGGTGGGTTTGAACTGCCAGCCTTCTGGTTACTAGGACTTCTTAATCTCTTTATAACCTCTTTCTTCCTTAGTTTCATCTCAGTAAAGTAAGGGTGATGAAAGGCCTGCCTGCCTCCTTGATATATCATAAGGATTGAGTAAGTTAAGGCAGCATCCCTGACTTTTGAGTGTCCCATTTTGAGGCAATGTGTGAGCAGTATTCCCTCTTTCTGACTTTCTCAACACCACAAAAACCCATACTGTGGATTGCTAAAAGTAGGGAGAGAGGGACTGGGAAAAAAGAGGATTCATCTAGCACACTTTTCCAAGGTCAAAGGTTGCCTTGGCCATGGCTTAAATGTCAAGCTTAAATTATTAGATTTAAGCTTTTCAAATACCTTGACAAGTTCTTCCATCCACAGCTATGGTGAGGCCTTTTGGGCAGGAGCAATAATACGTTCCCATGGCATTATGGCAAGTATGGGAACAGGGATTCCGCTCTTCACATTCATCTACATCTGGAAGAAGAAAGCAGAAGGCCCAGCAAGCATGTAAAAACCTCTGCCTTTCCATGAGTTACTAAAGTCAGGAGAAACAGCTGCATATAGAGGCCAAATAATTGAATAAAATATAATAGAAAATGCTTCCGTGCCACAAAATGGAAACACTAAATAAAAAATTCAATTGGGGTCTCCAAATTATTTTTGATAGTTATGGAATATTTAGAATATCTTCTAAAACAATGACAGTAGCTAAAATATATTGATCTTGATGTAAACACTTTAACTGGCTTGACTCATTCTTCACAACACTCCCAGGAGGTAGGTATTTGTATTATTATTTTCATTTGTTATTGATAAAACTGAGGATTAAAAGATTAAGTAAAGGTCACACAGACCATTCTTGGCAGAGCTGGGACTGGAACCTGGAAAGTACAGTTTCTCAGTACCATTTCCTTTACCACTATCTCACTCACTGCCGTGGAGTTGGATCTGACTCATAGTGACCCCGCCTTGGGTTTCCAAGGCAGTATCTCTATGGAAGTAGATTGCCCAGTCTTCCTTTCAAGGAGTGGCTGGTGGGTTTGAACTGACAGCCATCTGGTTAGCCGTCAAATGTCTTAGGCATTGTACACCACCAGAGCTCCCCAACTACGTTAAAATTGCCTGCTAGTGAAAAGAAAGCACCATTTATGAAAACTTGAGCTCCTCACACCATTTACTTAGCTTTTTACCCTATGTGTGACTCTCTTGTACTGGCACTTGGGTGGGACAACGTTGGTTTAGTCATCAGTCCTAGGCCTACAATCCTGGCCTATCCTATGATTGTGCAATTCTAGGGTTAAATGATTCAGGGGTGGATTATTACTGTCTCATACTCTGAAGTAAAGGATTTAACTGTACCCAAAGAATCTTGTCTTTGTCCCTGGTTTTTGAGACGATTTTGTGGTCGTAGATGCTGTCGAGTCAGCTCTGACTCATAGCGGCCCTGTGTTCAACAGAATGAGACGCTGCCCAGTCTTGTGCCATCCTCACAATCTTTGCTGTGCTTCAGCCCATTGTTGCAACCACTTTGCCAATGTATCCAATTGAGGGTCTTCCCCATTTTTGCTGCCCTTCCACTTTACCAAGCATGATATCCTTCTCTAGGGAGTGGTCTCTGCTGACAACATGACCAAAATATGGAGACAGTCTGGCCATTCTCACATCTAAGGAGCATTATGGCTATACTTCTTCCAAGACAGATTTGTTCATTCTTCTGGCAGCCCATGGTTTTTCAGTACTCTTCACCCACACCACAATTCAAATGCATCTATTCTTCTGCAGTCTCCCTTATTCATTGCCTAGCTTTCACATGCAGATAAGGCCACCAAAAATACCATGGCCTGAGTCAGGCACACCTTAGTCTTCAAAGTGACATCTTCGCTTTTTAACACTTGTGCAGATATGCACAATATAAATACGTTGTCTGATTTCCTGGCTGCTTCCATGGGCATTGACTGTGGATCTAAATAAAATGAAATCTCTCACAACTTCAGTCTTTTCTCCATTTAATGTGATGTTGCTCATTCATTTCTGAGAGATAACCTCTAAAACCTGGGAATTTCAACAGTGACTGAAGTGTCTTTGATAGAGCTCCAGAGGACACTTGAGGTTTTATGCTAATGATATACCTCTTCGGCAGAAGCTGGTTGTGCCAGAAAGACCCACCACCTGATATCTGACCCCAGCCTCAGGGGAGGGGAACTGATTCAATCAATCATGCCTAAATAATGAGGCCCCAATAAAGGCTCTGGACAGGAAAGCCTGGTTGTCATAGATGTCAATACACATAGGAGGTTATTGCATCCTATTTGGGGTATGGAAGCTCTGTGTTATGAACCCTCCCAGATATTGCCCTATGAATCTCTTCATTTGTATCCCTTTTGCTATCATAAAACTATGATCATAAGTATAGTGGTTTTCTGAGCTGTGAGTCATTCTAGCAAATTATTGGACCTGAGGGAGCAGTAGGAGTCAGCAGATCAGAAGTGAGGAGGTCTCGTGGATACCTGAGCTTAAGGTTGGCATCTTGAGGGGGTAGTGGCAAATACCCAAATTTGTAGTCAGCAGGTCAGATGTGAGGGTGGCGTGGGGTTCCCCAAGCTTGTGGCTACCATCTGAGATTTTTGGCAAACTTGTTAGTCTGAATGAATGAAGTTTGACCTAGCTTCAGGTGGTTAGGGTCAGAGAAGGAAGAACTTCATGTACAATTAGGAACAGATTTGGAATGGAATAGATATAATTGATTATAGAATCATTTGATAGTCACACAGAACTATGGCAATGAAGCAGTCAGAATGAGTCCAGCATTGTCTCTGTGGTCTCTCTATGTCTGCACTTGGTCACTATCCCTGACATAGTTGGTTGTGGCCACATGAAAAAAGCATGAACTTTGTAATCTAACTTGTGTTCAAGCCTACCTGAACCACCTGATAGCTGAGTGACCTTAGGCAGTTTATTTAACTTCTCTACGTATCAATTACCTCATCTATAAAATAGGAAGTTGACAGGACTGTTGCGATGATTAAATACCTAGAAAAATGTCAGTGGATGTCCACTAGAAGATATTCATTTTAAGTATTTTTATAAAAATAAAAACATTATTTATATCTGTACTTACCAGCACAAAAAGGTCCAACTGAGTCTAAGGAAAACCCGGAGGGGCACTGATTACTTCGATCTCCTACCACAGAGAAAGAAGTAAAGTTAACTGACATATTAGAATGATAGCACCTTCTTTCTTTCCAGTACAACCTTCCCTGGGAAGATATGCCAAAAATGGAACATATGATGCAACATTGCAATAGGTGAAAACAAGCAGAAATGGAAAAAATTTTCATGCTTCTTAAGCAAGAACTAAATGAATCACAGTCCAGAGATTGTTGATTGTTGGCAAGCTGCCATTGGAAACATTTTCTGTTAAGCTGTTTACATCAATCAAAAGAAAATTAAATTATTTTGTGATAAAGGGATCCAAGATCTATGTGTATGCCAGGCATAACCACAGGCAACATCTTTTTCTTTCAGCCATCACTACTCTGTTTTGTTCTAGAAGCAGAAACATTATTTTCAGGCAACTTATAATAATTTATGCCAGTGAAAAATAGAAACTCCATGAAGAAGCTCCCAGTGTTTGTGGATGTCCCTCATTTTCAGTGCCAAGCGTTTGGGGGACTCATGTGTGACCAAGTTCTTTTCCTTTCCATGTACTCAAAGCAAGGGAAAATAGACAAATTATTTTAGAATATCTTTGTTAGATAACATTTAAAAAAAAATGCTAACAAGAAGAAAAAGAGTTAACTAGGGATTCCCTTTTCTTAGAGGTCATGTAATTCTGTCTTGAATGATTTATGTTGTTATGTGCCATCGAGTCAGCCGTCCGACTCATAGCGACCCCCCTTAGGGTTTCTGAGGCAGCATCACTAGGGAAGTAGATGGCCCAACCTTCCTTCCAAGGAGTGGCTGGTGGGTTTGAACCACCAGCTTTATGATTTATATAGTTTAGGAAAATATTTTCAAACATCATTGACATGCAAAAATGTGAACAAAAAGACTCATCTTTGAAGTTATCATAGTTCAGGGTTAGGTATATAACTGGAGAAAAAATGTGTCATACAAATATAAAGAGTTATTGTCTGATAATGACACACACATACACAAACTTAAAAGACAATCGTGAATATATATTTCTCATTTCTCTTAGGGGAAATTTTATTTAATTCACATTGAATATCTTAGAAATTATCTTGGATTTTCTTTCAATTTATTTATTTTTTAAACTGTGATTTGGGTGGAAGTTTACAGAGCAAATTCATTTTCCATATAGCAGTTCACACACATTTTGTTTCCTAACATTGATTGCAATCCTCATAATGTAATAGGTCTCTCCCCACTTTGTTCCTGTGGTTACCTTTTCCTTGTGCCCTTTCTTCTTTCATTCCTGCCCTCTGAGCTATCTCCCTGTGCAAATACTGGCCTTCCGATCTCCCATGATTGATTGTTCTAAGGCGTGTACCTATGTGGTATAAATGTTCACCTTATATGCCTGTGCATTGTTTGGTGAAGCCATGGGAGTGAGTTCAATTCCAGGCCCAAAGAGTGACTAGGGGCCATAGCCTCGGGATTTCACCAGTATCTGTCAGACCAGCAAGCCTGGTCGGTTTTTATGATTTTGAGTTTTGTTCTACGTTTTTCTCCCAGTCTATCCAGGGTCTCCTGCGCTGATCACTTTCTAAGTAGTTGACAGTGGTAGCCAGGCACCATCTAGTTCTTCTGGTCTCAGGGTCATAAAGGCTGAGGTTCACATGGTACACTAGTCCCCTGGACTAACTGTTTCTATGTGGTTTTGGTTTTCTTCATTCTTCTTTGCTCTGGACAAAGAGAGACCAATTGTTGGATCTAGATGGCCTCTTGCAAGCTTTTAAGATGATGTTTACCTGGGACATCAAGCTCAGTTGGCATTACAGACTACACAAAAACATTGTTCTATATCCTACTTTGGTGAGTAGTGACTGGGGTCTTAAAAGATTTTATTTCAATTTAAAATGCATTCACTTACATTTATTTTTATTATTGTTTTAGGTGCTCTTCTTGGAGTGAGTCTTGATTTAGTTAATTTTTCAGGTTTCCTCTATTTTGGAGATTCTCTGATTATAATATTGTTTGAGTCTTGCTAAGGACATGAACATTTATTGCAAAAACTCTCTCAATATATATTTGGTTTCCTTGATTGAAAAGCTGACTACAAAACTAGGGTACTACTTGCTATTTCTAAGCAACCAAACTGTCTAAAAACTTCGACAAAAAGCAGAGATTCATGATCAGTTTCTATCCTGAGTGGAAAAATGATCTTCAGAGCATTGGCATCTTCCTGTTCATGCCAGGGAGTGGGAATGGGATGGAAAGGGCAGAGACGATTAGTGAATGGTCACTGTGTGTGACACAGGTGCCATGAGCCTTGTGTGCTTTCTCATTCAAGCCTCACAACACCCCTACTCCCGTTGTACCCAATTTTCAGATGAGGAATTTGAGACTGAGGTTATATATAATGGCCCAAGGTGAAAGAGCTAATGTGGCTGGAGTGAGGACTTAGATCTGTTGGACTCTCAACCACTGATATCAACAACACAACTCAGGTGGTGATTATAATTTCTTTCTTTTATTCAGATACGCTTTAATCAGTTTAATGTGTGGAGTACAGGGTTGGGTATACTACTGGGGAAAAATGTGTCATACAAATATAAAAAGTTATTATCTGATATTATCATGCAAAGTTATTATTTATATTGTTGGTTCTAGATGAGAGAGAGATCTTCCATTAGGTGACATTTGGGAAGTTTTTTTGGGAGATATTTTGTCAGTCATGATGACAGGGAGGCCTATTAAAATTTAGTTAGTGGTGGAAGACCAGGGGCAGGTTTTGTAACACCTCAATGTATGAGATAGTAAGGCAAGATAAAGTTTTGTCCCTTGCCCCGCAAGACTTTCATGGAAGTAAGGAAGCTGTTTGTAATTATGTAAGCTTAGACCTCATGTTTCATATATTAAGGATTTTTTGTATAATCTAAACATACAATGAATTTTCTTGGAACACAACTGCCATGCAAATTGAATGGCTGATTGAACTTTGTTTTACTCAGAACTTTACTAAAAGTTGCTCAATGTTTTGAAAAAAAATCAAACCAGGATTCTATAGGTTTGGGCATATGACTACTTTTCTGTGCCTTTTAGTACAATCAGGTCGAAAGATTTATATGTTGAAATGTATAATTTTTTTATGTGTGTGTGAATTGTTGTACTTTTAGGTAAAGTGTGGCATTTTGAATTATTTTGGCTAACATTTTTATTTCAAGATAGTAGAGGGGATAATACAAAATATACTTTTTAATTTATGTTACAGTAATTGTGATTGTTGTAGAAACTTAAAAAGTTTAAAATAAAACTCTGTGTAATCCTGTCATTTGGACCAAACTACTGTTGATATTTTGATGATTTTTCCCTCAGTCAGTTTTACAAATATATACTTTAAAAAGTTTAATTAGTATTTTATTCCACAGACTAATAGTTGCCCAACTTTAATGATCATAAAAATTACTTGAGGAACTTACTATATAGATCTTTTAAAATAAAAAAGCCCAAAACCCAAACCCATTGCCATCAAGTCAATTTTGACTCATAAGACAGAGTGAACTGCTCCATAGGGTTTCCAAGGCTGTAAATCTTTATGGAAGCAGACTGTCTCATCCTTCGCCTGAAAAGCAGTTAGTGGTTTCAAACTGCTGACCTTTTGGTTAGCAACTGAATGCTTTAACCACTGTACCACCAGAGATTCCTTAGTTTCACCATAATCAGACTAAGGAAAGAAGAGGCCTGGGAATCTATGCTTAACCAGTGTAAACCAGCAATTATAAACTTACAATTACTTAGGTGTGGGCAAGCCTGACTTACATCATAATGTACACTACTTTTCAGTTATTATGTCATGAACATTCTCCTTTGTCATTTGTTTATAGTTATATTGTCAATATCTAGAACAATGTCTGCTACATAGTAGACACTCAACAAAAATTTGTTAAATGAATGAGTTAAATATTCCTTAAAAATTACTTTAATGATTATTTAAAAGTTTATCATACAGGTATGCCATGATTTATATATTTACTTCCTACTTCCAGAACATTTATTAATTATTTTTCAATTATAAATAGAAGTGGATGAAATTTTCTGAACATGTATGCCTGGTGGAGTGGCTGGGCAGCTGGATGTAGTATTGCCCATGATGAGACTGGTAATCAACTCTATGGCAGAATCTACTGTGAGCAGCTGAGTAGCTGACTTTGGGATGTGGTCTGCTTCCTGTACATAAGGAGAAGCCTTGGGGACCGGTCGGTAGCTTATGGCATGCTTGAACCCTGCATGCAGCCATGTCATTGTTCAGCAGCCTGCCATGCTCTGCTGGGACTTTCAATGGACTTGAATTAATGGCCTACCGTGTAGTTTGGTAATATCGAGACCGTGACTTGTTACTTGTCAACCTTGGGCTTGTGAGCCTCAGCAGCCAGCAGCTGAGTGAAGAAAAGCCTCTAGCTTCAGTGGGCTGGGAGCAGGAGGCAGAGCTGAAACCTAAGGTTGAGGGGCAAAATACGCAGCCCTTAGAGCCTGGCACTTTGAACTTGGACTTAAAGCCTCCAAATTGTAAGAGAATAAACTCTTGTTTGTTCAAGCCATCCCATTTGTGGTTTTGTGGTGAGAGCAGTACTAAGTAACCAAAACAATGTACATTTGGCCATTTCTGTGATTTTCTTAGATTTCTAGAATGAAAAAACTGAGAAATATATTAACACAGTTTTGAAAGCTACTGATACACAGTTTTTCAGAAAAGTTGAACCAATTTTTGCTCACTGCCAGTAGCATACATGAGAGTGTTCATTTCCTCATACCTCTCCAATACCTGGCCAACTGACTGGAAGAGATCCATATTTGTGCCCATTCCAAAGAAAGGTGATCCCACAGAATGTGGAAATTATAGAACAATATAA